CAACAGATCATCTGTGTACTTAAATGAAGCATTTGTAATAATTTTGAAATTTATATTTTCACTAAGTTAATTTTATTTATATTAAAGTAATTTTAAATTGTTTATAAAATCTATTACGAGAAAACATTATTGACTACAGTTTTGATTATCTAGTGAAATTGTCGAAGCATATCTAATCTCTTCCTTTTTTACACTAATAACTTTATTCGATGAAATTAAGTATTCAGAGCTGAAATCTTTTATGATCGTAAGTTTTCGTCATCGTATTTTTATTTATTTATTTATTTATTATATGCTTCGCCCTTTTGGCACTACACGGAGAGGGACGCTGGAGGACTTTTCAAGTGAAACTGGATCGTATCTACGTTACGCATGCGCAAAACCATGAAAACGGCCATACAGCCAAAGCTCGTTTGCCAGAACTCGAACCGCAGATCAAATTACCAGTTGTTTAAAGATATTTACCGATCAGCCGATAATGAACCCTTACCTCATTTTTCATCGTATTATACACAAATCATACCCCCCCCCCCCCCCCCCCCCCCCCCCCCCCCCACCCCCCCCCCCCCCCCCCCCCCCCCCCCCCCCCCCCCCCCCCCCCCCCCCCCCCCCACCCCCCCCCCCCCCCCCCCCCCCCCCCCCCCCCCCCCCCCCCCCCCCCCCCCCCCCCCCCCCCCCCACCCCCCCCCCCCCCCCCCCCACCCCCCCCCCCCCCCCCCCCCCCCCCCCCCCCCCCCCCCCCCCCCCCCCCCCCCCCCCCCCCCCCCCCCCCCCCCCCCCCCCCACCCCCCCCCCCCCCCCCCCCCCCCCCCCCCCCCCCCCCCCCCCCCCCCCCCCCCCCCCCCCCCCCCCCCCCCCCCCCCCCCCCCCCCCCCCACCCCCCCCCCCCCCCCCCCCCCCCCCCCCCCCCCCCCCCCCCCCCCCCCCCCCCCCCCCCCCCCCCCCCCACCCCCACCCCCCCCCCCCCCCCCCCCCCGCCCCCCCCTCACCCCCCCCCCCCCCCCCCCCCCCCCTCCCCCCCCCCCCCCCCCCCCCCCACCACCCCCCCCCCCCCCCCCCCCCCCCCCCCCCCCCCCCCCCCCCCCCCCCCCCCCCCCCCCCCCCCCCCCCCCCCCCCCCCCCCCCCCCCCCCCCCCCCCCCCACCCCCCCCCCCCCCCCCCCCCCCCCCCCGCCCCCCCCCCCCCCCCCCCCCCCCACCCCCCCCCCCACCCCCCCCCCCCCCCCCCCCCCCCCCCCCCCCCCCCCCCCCCCCCCACCCCCCCCCCCCCCCCCCCCCGCCCACCCCCCCCCCCCCCCCCCCCCACCCCCCCCCCTCCCTCCCCCCCCCCCCCCCCCCCCCCCCCCCCGCCCCCCCCCCGCCCCACCGCCCCCCCCCACCCCCCCCCCCCCCCCCCCCCCCCCCCCCCCCCCCCCCCCATCCAAATGCCCGATTTTTAGCGAGAGCGGAAAAAATAAAAGAAATTTTTGTTTAAATATCAAAAATAAGAATGAACCTCTTTTTTTTTTTTAATTTCTCTACAAATGTTCAGAAATGTAAGCAATCGTTATTGAATATCAGTACCGCTATCATTCTAGCGGTAAAGCTATTGAGATGAAAAATATTCAGAAAAGCTCATAAAATTAAATTTAAATGAAGGCCTTACTGAACTTCTAAAAGCAATTTCAGGAGTTTTATTCATATAATTGAAATTGCTGATCCAAATTAGTATTTTAAATTTAAAAAAAATTTTCTAGTAAAAATTTATATAATATATATAATAAATAAAAAAATTGTTTAGAAAGATCGTGGATTTTAATAACAATTTTGAATATTCATAAATAACATATTTTACTCATTCATATATTGCTTATCAATAATAAAAAACGAAAAACTTTTACGATTTTAAATTTTTACAAGAAATTTATACAGAAACTAATTTATTAAGTCACCTTTCAACCATTTATTTGTCGAAAAAGGGAGCGCGTTAGATTGGCGGATTTCCATAGTTACGTTAAAAGAGAGCATGTAAGCAAAAATGTCATTGAAACATTATTTCAACATGGTCTGGCACTGAAATAATGTTTTCAAAGTTCCGTCTAGTTCACAGCAAATTGAAAAACATGTTAAGACTTAAATAAATAAATTCAAGGTCACTTTTGAAAATACCCATCATTAATATTTGAAACGTTAATTAAAGACAAAAATAAAATATGCATATATGTTATTGGAGAAGTCAAACAAGAATCAGCTTAATATTTGTAAATTTGTCAGGACTATTTTCGATGGTTCTGCAGTTATGCAGAACTATATTCCTTAGCTGCGTAAGTGCAAATGAACGAGATAAGATATTTGCATTTAGGCGGCTGAGGTAGATGGTTCTCTAGTAAAACCATGGAAACTAGTCCTGCAAAATTTACAAATATTAAGCTGATTCTTGTTGTTTGACTTCTCCAATTATTATTCGGCGTGTTATTTTAACTTAAATACATATGCTTATTGGCTGTTAATATTCACCTCATTTTCTTTCTACCTTCGTTTTTATAGCTTATTTTTTCAATCATTTTCAATATCAGTCATCAGGAAAGGCAAAGCATTTGTTTAGTGAGACATAAATTCGGACTTATAGCAAAAGCATTGTAGTTAATAATAAAACAAGTTCGCCTACACCGATTAGTACTCATTTAAATCTATATATTTATTAGAAAACTGATCTTGAAAATAAATCGAGATTTTAAAAAAGTTTTAAACACCGATTTAAATGAAAACTCATTATTATTTAAAGAATGATTTTATGCAGTTTAATTTCAAGTATCTCCGAAAATATTAATTCTCTTTGGTAATCTAACTGGTAAAGTGTTAGAGATATTAACTGCGATTATTTTAAATGGATTTGCTGACAAATACAGGACGTCTTGAAAGGGACTGGCGATTTTTAAAATGGAATAGCGAGTAAGCAGTGATAGCTATGAAAAATCATTCTTGCAGTAGATTAATGTGCAAGATCAGGTTTTAGTTTATTTTATTTACTTTATTTATTTATTTATTTTTTATTTACGTTTTAAGTATGCTTCTTTGTGGTAGAGGAAAAGCACCAATAGAATGTACTTTGGTTTCTAAAATTGTTATTCGAAAAATCACGTTAAAATGTTGTCGAAATGTCCACCATTTAAAGCAGTTATTTGCCGTAAGCGAAGTGAAAAGTTAGCAGACACGTTCTGGAACGTCATTGTTGGAATGGGTTTGCGTTCGTGACTGATAGTTTGCTCCGAGTTTTGCAAGCGTGCTAAGATTCTGTGGATATACCTCATCTTTCAAGTGTCCCACAGAAAGTAACCATGCGAAGTGAGATCCGGAGAATACGATGGCTAGTCAACATTCCTGCCGGTAGCACGAGGTGAATTCGACGCGATGCCGCGATTGTCAAAATATTCCTCCTAAAAAGCGAAAGCCTCGTCGGTCGGGTGAGGCATCGCACCATATTGTATGAACCAGGTTGTAATGCGATGCATTCAGTATCACGGTTTTTCTACATATTCCAGACATATTTTCTACATATTCTAGGTGGTCAATGCTGATTTCTTAATTTTTTGTTCGAGGTGTTTAGGATTATGATTTTAACTTTGCTATTGTGCATTTATATTTAAAATCGCAATTTTAGTTATTTATGTATGCTTTGTCATCCAGTATATTCGCCTCTATTTGAATAATGAAATTTTGCGTTAGTTTGTTCGCCATGTGAGATCACCCTGGCATCATAGAAAAATGCCACATTTTGGATTCAGCGCATGTTCTGGAATACTAGTAATCTCCTGATTTTCCAACGAATCGAGAAGCGAATGCATGAAACTCGCTACAGTGTAAATAGCATGAGAATGATCATGGAATAATTAAAAAGTAGAGAATCAATCCAACTTTAAAGTTTTGTATACATTTTGAGACTTGGCGATAAGATTAAACGAAATAAATAATAATATTAAATATAGATTAAAAAGGTGGATTAATTATTCGATTCTTTTTATTTTACAACCTGACTCTAACTTTGCACAACAATGAGCAATAATGTTAACACAATAAATCAATTCGTGAAATTAATCAAAAATTTTATTGAAAACAACGTTTTCAGGTAAAATCGTCGTTAAATATTAATATACATTTAATATACTTGTAAATATACTTGAAACCAAATGTAAACTTGCAAACAGAAAACTAATTAAAACGTATAAAAATAAATTGCGACACACTTTTAACTAAAAACGGAACATTAAATTACGACACAGCTTTGACGCTGCGGGAGAGCAGGAGAATCTCTTTGGTCTTAATTAACTGATGAGTGCGCCCACAGCACACACATTCGCCTTTTTTTAATATAAAATACGTATTTTATAACAATCGCTTTTCTCGGTAGCGGACCACAGAGTATCTATTTTGTGCATGTTTTAATTATCGCTTATCTTTTGTAGAAGACATTTAATTCCAACCTAGGTTCGAATCCCGGAGAAGGCATGGATGCTTGTAAACGGATAGTACTTTTGTGGCATGGAGACATTTAAAACACTGTTAAGCCGGAAATACTTGGTAACAGGAGAAATTGATGGTAACAGGAGTAGGAGACCTTTAGTTGCCCCCAAAGTAAAACGGCCCATCAAAACAGAGACGGAGTTTGATGGCAAATTTTTACTATCACTTTATAAGGTGCTCAAGGGCTTACGATACTGACTGAGGCAATGCTTTCCCTTTCGGCCATGATAAACTTTATACATCTAATATGGAACCTGAGTCAAGACCAGGAGGATTCAAAACAGCACCAGCAACTTGGATCAAACAACCACTGTTAAATGGTTTTTATCCATTTTGCCCTTCCCCTCCTAACTAATAAAATTTATGCTTCATTATAGAAATTTAGAACCCGTGTTTCTGTATTTGTGAGCTTATGGCATTACATATATCTTTTAGAAATTTATATTTAGAAATTTAAATGCATAGCTCGTTTTAGTTATATTTACGTTATTTGTCTTTCAGTGACCAACTGCAGGTTATTCAGTATATGCTGGACACTTTTCTTGCAATGGACCACTTGTCAAGATTTTGTATTCGAAGTACACACTGTTACGATCATTTTTCTTGAGTACCATTAAGTCAATGTGCTTTATGAAGTGGATTGTATCCCATAAGTTTTAATGTGTTGATTTTATTATTTGTGTTTTTACTGTCGGTGAAATTGTTGAATTATTACGTTTTTAGAATTATTGAATTATTACGTTTTAAGAATGGGAAGTGTTGAATGCAGTTCTTCATCATACAAGTTAATTTGCTTTCCCCTTAACAAAGTTTGCTTCTTTTGCTGTGAAGACGCAGAAAAATACATAATGAAAGTTATTAGATTTTTAGTCTTACATTCAGTGCAAATATATATATATAAAGTAAATAATTTAGAACTAATATTTCACAAAGACCAGAAATTGAAATTCATAATTAATAAATTTCAAATAATCATATAAATGCAACAAAGAATTTTAAAATGTTAAAACCAAAACATTTCAAACAAGCAAAATTCCACTTCACAAAATTTATGAAATTTAATGAAAAAAGAACAAAACAGAAGAAGTCAATCAACCTCAGTGTCACTTCATCAGGGGGTAGGAACTCTGAAATTAATTGAAATCTCTCTTCTACAAAAATCCTTGCTTTTCTGTATCCAGAATTAGCCTATGAACTATTTCAATGTATTTTAAGTAACACATTAAAGTTTCCAAAATATTTCTTTATGTAGCATTGTTAGAATTTCTTATTTTAAACCTTATATGTCATAATAGCCATATTTTGCTGTAACAATGTAATGTTTTATGCCATTCGTCGTAGCAGATGATTTCGCCAATTTTATGAGTTTTGAATTTTTTTTAGCTGTGTGCAGTTATAATTTTATTTAGATTTAAATATGAACAGCAGAATTTAGGCAGCAGAATTTATTCCTTTTGTATGAATTGCTTCTTAAATTTCATCAATATTAAATGAAAATAACTTTTAATCTAAAAAAACAGTTATCTCCATGTTCCCTATGAGTCATATTTCGGGAGCAAAAATTTACTTTTAAAACAAACGCGGTTCGAACAGCTGTTCTAAAGGTTTTGGGAAGGAAAGTTGTATTTTGTGTTTTAAAAGAGTAGGACTTACGGTGAGTTTGCAAAGTTTTAAAATTGTCGGGGGGCGACATTTGAAGGACACAACTTTATCACTCTTTAGTCTCCTACGTACACTCGGCAAAAAAAAAAGGGGTGGACAGTTCTGTCGTTCTACGGGGTCGATTGACGAAATTTAACTTGCTTTTTTAATGTCTCGAAATTGCCCTCCCAAGAGTGCCCCAGAGACACTGTATAGGGTTAAGTCAAGAGATATGGCTGACCAAACCGCACTTCGAATAGCCTCACTCTCCAAGTAATCGTGTCGAACATCTGAGCTCTGTGTGGATGAGCGTTGATATTTATTAACAGGAACCCAAGACCAACCGTTCCCCTGAAGAGTCAACCATAGGGCTCTAAAATCTCCTCTCTATTATACCTCATAGCAGGCAGGGAACGTTTGTCAAATATATGCAGGGGTGTGCGTGCTTACAACATACAATGCTTGCCCAAACCATTACACCTCCACCACCGTAATGAAGTCATGGTGTCGGGTTCTAGGTTTTCTCCAAATATAGGTACGCCGAGAATCAGTGCCCGGACTTAATCTCTACTCATCTGAAAAGTCCACTGAATTTTGGTCCAAGGCGTATGTTGTCTGAACCATGCTAAATGCACTTTCTTGAGTTCTGCAGTGAATAGGACACATAAAGTAGGTCTTCTGGCAACTGCATACCGTGAAATTTCGCGTTCCAGGGGCAACACACAGTTAACGTGAGAACTATGAAGCTGTAGCAGTCCTGTGTCGCGGGTGTGAAAGTGCTGAATAACGATCCTCATTCGCCTTTGTGGATATTGGTCGACCTTGTCTAGGTCTTCTGGTTATGGATCCAGTGTCCGGAAATTGTATCCACAAATTTTAGACGACACAGGGCGTTACACTGCCCTTGTTTGTCATAAAATCTTGTCGATTAGGTGGATGGGGCTGCGCCCTATTTGTACAGGGCGTTACACTGAGTTCTGTAGCCACCTCAGCTTGTAATTGGCCTGCTTCCAATTTACCGACAGTTAGTTCTATATCCCATTCCGTCATGCACACGTGATACCTTATAAAACCTTTGACCTGATACCTTATAAAAGTTACCCAATTCTTGCAAGAAACACGGCAAACGCCGTCAAGGACTACGAGCACACAAACCATCGAAAACCCCTCGTGCGCTTACATCCCCTCCACAATCATAGCTCCGCATTAAATAAGCATACGCTTATGTATTCGATTCTGAATATTTGCATAGTTCCTTGCCAGCATATTTAGTGTCTTTGATTCAATACTTTTAATAAAAATAGCCATAATTTGCAAATTCTTTTAATTTAGCATACGAGTATTTGTGGGTTACCTTTGGGTTTAGGAAACTTTTTCATCATTAATAATGATTTGTTTTAAAAAACTTGGAATTATTACCATTTGTTCCACTCAAAATTCATTCGTTTGGAGTTTCAGCCTTTTAATCAGAAACAGCAGCAAAAATTTAAACACAAAATTTGAATTTAAACCTCTTTCCGTGAGACATCAATATTTTAAAGAAGAAAATTTCTGGGAGTGTAATAGATTACTATTACCATTATTTATTATGTGGTAACTCTACTAGGACTGCTGAGAAAAACTCAGTTTATAGACGCATTGCATGTAAAAGCAAATGCTGTGTTTTCGTGTGTCTGAAAATAAAATAATATTGTATAAATCTTAATATTACTTCTGGTGTAAATCTATTTTATTCTATTTATAATTTGTTTTAGCGATGTATAAGCATATGACTAGCATAAATCTACTGTAATAGAATAATATTTATGTGTTCCATTATCTATATAACAGCAAACTATCATCGAATATAAAAACAAAAATTATTGAATTCGTCAAGAATAGCAAACTTTCATATAATTTAAATTTTTTAATATTTTGATTATTTATTATTTTAAAGAAGACTTACTATTTTTACAAGTGTATCCCGAATCAGTGGCTTTCAGTGATTGGTTCCCAGTGGCTAAGTAGTAGTGCCGCAGGTAGCGATACTGAGTTTACCTGCACACGACTACTTATCTAAAAGGATCCTTGTACGTCTCATCATTTTTATGTCTCAAGTTTTCCAACTTCTGATTGGCACAGTTAAAAGTCGAGCTGTTTAATTCTTCAAAATATCAAGTTTGGTAATGTATGTTTTTACATTTATTGATATTTTTTTATTATAATAAGTTTAAACCTTTATTGTGTTATAATCCCATTTAACCAAAATAAGACGACAAATACAAGATATTTATACTTTACCCATGGTAGTTATTTTCGGTAGTTTCAGGTAGTTGGTGTTGGTGGTGTATTTAATTATCGCAAATCACACTGAGGCTATCTGCCTAAGGGTAGGGGTGCCTTCGTGGAAGATTTTCTAAGGGAAACTGGCTCGTATACACGTTGCACATGGGGAAAACCACGTAAACGCCCATGCAGCCAGCCCGTTCGCGGGATTCGAACCTCGGACCGAACAACCAGTGTTCAGCGACTTTACCGCTCGGCCGCTGGTGGGCCCGTAGTTACAGGTAGAAATATATATGTGTAACATTATTAACTAAGAGTATGAATTGCAGTACTTTTCACACCTGTATTATAAAACATTATTGTACTTAGCTTTAATTTGAAAAAAAGCGAATGAAGTGCATTTTTTCTTGAAAAACTGATTACGAGCTGTCTCAACATTTGATAAGCAACTCATGTAGATTATTAAATGAAATGTAAAGTAAGCTGAAACGGGAAAGTAATTCCTTTTGTTGTTGTACACACAATAAGTACTAAAGTATAAAAATCACTGATTTAAACCCTCTAGATTATCCTTATGATATTAATAAAAGAACTAAAATTTAAATGTAACTTTTTTCACCAAAACTTGCAATGCTGCATTCACAACATACTTATAGAAACTGAAGTTTCTTTTTTAAAACTTTGTCATAGCTAATTCTATCGCTATAAGATTTCATCTAAGAATCCCAATTTGCACAGCCATGGCTGATCTAATATGTCACAGAAAGCTTAAATTTATTTTTTCAAGTCATTTAAAAGAATCGTAAATTTTCACTTAATCTTGGTGGGCTGGAGAAAACGTAGTTATGTTTTTACTACCATTTCTTCACAACGTTACAAGTAGTCTGGGTGTCAATTATATCTGAAGTAAACCCTCTTCACTGCTTCTGTTAATACTATTTTTATATTTTTTGCGCGTTTCACGTAAATTAGAGCCACTCTGTAAAGATTGCAATATGCTGATTTTACTGAAAGAAAACTTGGGTTTAGAAAATCATGCAGCCACTAATAGTCCCTGTCAAACCATTGAGTCAAAAACCAATACATAGTATTAATAACATCCTCTTTTATCAACATCACAGCTTCTTCCGGAATAAAGTATCTTCTGGCATACTTAAGATAAAATGAATACCCCAAGCAAGTATTATTAGTAAATGCTTTAGATTTGTAAAATCTAATAGCGTTAAACTGAAACGAATGAGTTACTGTTATAAATCATTAGTAACACCTGAAAATTTCAGAGAGTTACAAATCAACTGAACAAATAGCTAATATTTCAGCTGACTTATATGTTTTTATTTATAACCTTTCCACAGCAGTGTCGGTGCGCATCAGCAAGGTTAATTTCAGTTATACCTAATTTTTAAACACATTTTAATGATGGTATTGTAGAGTCATTAGGTTAATTGGAAGCAGGAAAGATGAAAAATATGCAACCGCCTTCGCCGGGAATCGAACCACGGACCTCTGGAATACCGGCCCAGCGTGCTACCGTTATACCACGAAGGCACGCTAGGGAAGTGGGAGAAATACCTTATAGTATAAGCATCTTCGTGTCGATAAAAATTGAAATAATTTTTTATTTTCTGAGTTCTTATCTCTACTTCTATTCTTATGCCAAAATAATGTAAATATTTTACTTTTCAGATCCTGAAGTTTTGAATAAGAACTTCTCGTGAACTCGGTTTCATGAATTGCTGGAAAGCCTCTCATAGCAGATAATATGAATACATTGCTACGAATTTTGTACATAGATTATTTTAGTCGGATTATTATAGATTATTTATTATTTTATATATGTAAGATTGTTGTATTTTTCTGTGTATTATAACGTGAAAAGCTGAGAGGAATGATGCTCTATGAGGAAAATAAGAATATAGGGGCAAGCCTATTTAATATTGAGTATATAGCTATCTCTCTTAACTGGCGAGATATCGCCAACCTGACAACTAATTTTTGGTTTTGGCGACTAATTTTTTCGCCAAAGTTGGCAAAAAAGTCAGGAATAGGATAAGCTTAATTTGGACAGAAATTGCCAAAAGTCGCCAGACTTTATGACCATTCGGCGACATTTTGATCCGGTCCTTGTGTCATCGTAGGCCCTCATATATATGCTTTCCAGTAATGTTGAGAAGCAGAAAGTATTAGAAATACCTCGGCGGCTAGGAGAAACCGATATAAGAACGGAGACGACATCTTCTCTTAGTTCTTGTTGTTAGCTGTTAGTTCAGCGTGAATACGGATTACTTGGCTCTCTGCATCGCATTGTGTTTAACGTTCTTAGTAGTTTGAAGGTGTAACTACTGATTGTACTCTGTGATACTGTGAATACCTGAACGAGTGTTTTTGTGGAAACTTCCAGAACTGAGAAGTGTTTCTTTTAATAAAATAAATTTTATTAATCTATCTTTGGACCTGTGTTCATTCAATCTATTACGAACCCATACGCACGTAACAATATGTGACGTCTGTTTTGTATCCAGCACAAGAAAATTCCAGAGAAAAATATGCAGGGACTTTATTTAGAAAGAATGAAAAGATCTGGTCTCTGTCATGACCAATACACGAGAGAAGGTTTAGAAAAGGAATAAAATTTTATATTGCATCCAACGTTAACCGGTATAACTGACTGTAAGGTGCAAATTCATTTCTAAGTATTTTGTGAAACAAATTAATAATTTGCTTTACTGTCCCCTCTTATTTTCCACTTCTGGCCAGAATAAACGCGTGACTATGTTTATGCGAATTGTACTTGCTAACGCTTAAGTTATGGCTTTTCGCCAAGAACAAAGTTAGATGGACAGAAAGATTAGCCTCCTTGCCACTATATTCCACGCGAACTTTAGTTGCTTTCAGTTGCTGTCCCCCTTCAAGGCCAGAGGTTTAGTCCTCCCGATATTTAAAACGTATTGTAGTTTTCCGCAGTTTGCGCTCTACATACGCAATAAACTAAAAGGCCAACCTTAGTGTTAGTCATCTGTATAAAGTACTCAAAGTTAGCTCTTATTTAAATTTAGTTAGTTAGTAGTTCTTATATTTTTTACATTCAGACCACAAGTAGTTGGTCTTTGTATCCCGAAGTGTGGAAGCGCCTGTAATATCGTGGAGAATAAAGGGTAATTAAACCCTTCTCATCTTGTCATCTCTTTTACTCTCCATAAAACATAGTTTGTAGTCAGACTCACTGTCTCGTCAGGACACTTTATGTTTGCCAAGCGGGATAAGGAGGAATAGTAGTCCTGATAAGAACATTTCATCTTTTCATGTATTTTCCTGTTTATTTATGCGTTGTATAAAATACGAGTTTATATATTTTAAACCAGGGTCTTGTACTCCCTTCCTTGGTAAAACTGGGATAACAAAAGAACCTGAAGAATCTGTTTCTAATTTTTATACCAAACCTTAATTTATTAATCTGCAAAGAAAAGACCAAAATAATACAATTAAATTTTTTATTAATTTAATAATCAAACCGATATAAAGAAAATCACACCGATAATCAAAAGATTCTCATATTCAAATGATAACGTTATGAGCATCAAATACAGATTTCACACACTGTAGTCTTCTACTTTAAATAGGCATTTGAAGGCCTTTCCGATCCTCTCCCATTTTCTATCGTAACATGCGTCATCTTTGCCACACACTTATGTTATACACCTTATCTCAGATTATAATTCAAGTTAGTCTTCATTCATGCCCTTTTCACAAAGAGAAACATGTTAGACGGAAATCAAGTGGGAAGAAAACTATTATGGTCTCGACCAATCTACCGCAACTGTCATTAACAAGGTTGCAAGACAAACCAGACGGGAAAATCACCCTTAATAGACAATAGCAGAGATTGGCTATACAAATTATTACTAGTTCACAAATGTGAGGTTCGCTAAACGATATCATTTATCAATGAGAGAGCAAGACAAGGGTATAATACAGGGATTGGCAACCTTTGTAGCTGTGGTGTGCCAAACCAATCTACCAGTATGATTCAGGATGCCGCACATGAGGAAATATTTAAAATAATTTAATTTCGTCGGCAATGGATGCAGAGTTAGAGAATAGAGGACAAGAATGCAAATTTAATGTTTTATTATGTATTAATTATGCATTAAGATATGTATTAACATAAAAATAAACAACATAAAATGTAACTATTCCTTCAACACAAATAAAAAATTAAAATTATACATACAGGTATATTATGTATCTAACACAGTTATTAAAAACACATTTATTAAAATAAACTACATAAAATGTAAGTATTTCTTCAATGTAGTTAAATAAAAAATTTTAATGTGAAACTTATTCCTGCATCGCTCTACGTAATATTGCAATATCAGGGGTATAATTTGTGACTTGCAATTTCACTCATAATTCTGAATAGTCAGTTGTTAAGCAACTTCTTTGTAGACTTAAAATATTTTTCATATGAGAAAAGATTTGTTCGCATAGATATATGGAAGCAAAAGCGGAAAGTAGAGCACATGAAATTTTTTTCAAGCAATTCAATCTCGCGGACGCTGACATCCAGCAATTTACAGTAGCTGTCAATTTATCGTTAGAGTTATCTTTCAGTTTTTTTCGTAATTACATAAATTTTGCTTTCCATAATTCTGAAGGTGTTAGTTCAATAAATTTCATTTCAAAATTATCAACTTGCATTCACTCCGAAATTGATAAATCGGATTTGAATAT